TGTGCAAATATGTCAAAATGTACATTCAAGCAGCTTGAAGTTTTTTATTGATCCCAGATCCTTATCCAATAGACTTGCTCCTTTTTGAATATCTTGCAGTTGAAATGAGATTTTACACTGGGATACCCTTTTTTTTCGTTGAACAACTTGAAAAAGTGTTTAACATCATTTTGGTACATAAAAACATAACTACAGGAAATAGATATTGCTTTCTCAGAAGGGAGGATCAGTCGATATGCTCAGACTAGCATTTTAGAATTTAATTCTATTTTCATGATAATTTTGAACTTATTTTATAATCGAAAATAAAATTCATAAACATAATTTTTTTTTCTTCAGAAAATACCATATTATTTATTAATAAAGCAGCAATTACAAGAAGCAAAGAAAGGCATATATGCCTTAACAGAAAACAACTCAAAAATAAGGCACACCCGCCTATCAAAGCAACAAAATACAGTCCAAAACAGTAAGCTCCCAACCAGTATATTCATGGCTAGCATCACCCTCCTCATAAACCTTTTTCTTCCCTTTCAAAATGTTTCAAACAAATCAGCACTTTATCAAGTGCAGATTTCAGTAAAAACATGGCAATCAGCCCTTATCATCAAACATAAGCCTTTTCTTTTTACGCAAAACCGGTAATCCCATTTGATCATTACGCAGAGCAGACCCAACCTCGCTAGGAAGCTGCAAATGAATCGAAGAAACAGTAGATCTCCTCTCCAGCACAGCTTGATTCGCAAGCCTATCAACAACATTGTTGGCCTCACGAAAAATGTGCTTCAGTTGATAGTTCAAATCCCCTAATGTGCTTCAGTTGATAGTTCAAATCCCCTAATAACTCTTTAATCCGTCTTAAATATTCCAGGCAAGACCAGGGGCAACCAGAAACCCCCAAAACAGAATTTACCAAAACCAGGGCGTCACTTTCTTGAGAAGATTCACAAGTTTGACTGCCCCGTATTCTGAAATGTAAAGAGGCCTCCCAAAAATTTTCTGGTACTCAGCATGTACACGAGTAAGAGACAGACATCCTCCTGACAGTTCAAGCAACTTTACCAGCTGCCCCTTCAAACCATTTATATCTCCAGGCTGTACCCACATCAAGTCATTCTGGTCACAAGAAGCAACAGGTCCGGCTGAAACTTCATTCAAACCAGAAGGGAGACTATGTGATCTCAAAGTTGTAGGAAAACAAGGCCGAAAAGATAATTGCCCCTTCACCCGCTAGTCTTCGACATCTTTCTTTCCATAATTGCCAAAAGATAAGCAAAGGAATACGTCTAAATAAGCTGAAGTATTGGGGCATTAAGCTGAATTATATGCAACTAGAGTGTGGCCAATCTGTTTTCTCTGTACATCCAACGCCGAGGAGCACCGGGCGAATATTTCCTTACCTTGAGTGACAATTATCAATAGAACAATTAAAAATTGACCAATACATACTAACCAATACATACGCATCTGGTATAACAGCAAGCAAATGGAGCATACCAACCAAGCTCTCTGCATATTTCGCATGCGCAAGCTTCGCCTCTGGAGGATCTTCTCCATGACAGACCCATCTAGGAAAGAATCTGGGTTTTCATCGGTATCCAGATCTTCAACCTGATTGTTTGACATTGTTTCATCTGAATTTCCATGGGGGTTTTCAGAACTCGGCTGCATTCTGTCAAGATGTTCCTGAAGCAAACCCTCTACTCTCCTTTGCAAACTTAGTGGTATAACTACCTGCACAAATGGGTCAAAGCTTTCCAATCCTCACATGCTTGATGAGGTATGCCTGCCCCTCTCTCTCTCTTCAAAGTAGATGATTTTGCTGAGGTTTGTGATGACTTTGTTCACCTAGTGAAGCTAAAACTTGATTTTCTTGATTTTGAAAGTGAAAGTTTGTAGAAAAATTGTGTTTGGGTTTCAAGAGAGTTGGGAATTCTGAATTATATTGTTGTTAAAGGGTCTCTATCAGTTGAGTTGCATCAGATCTTTGAAAGAGTACACATCAAATGATTTATGGGTCAGAATTTCAGTCATGCGTTCTTTTCATCGAGTCTGGCTTGAAGAATTCAACTAAACCAATTCCATCAATTCAAAAACACATAAAATATAAAATCACACCCAAACACATACATACATATGGAATAGATATACTGACCAGTAGGGGTACTTGGGTTCCTCTCTTACCTTTCTTCTTAGCAGAATCTGGAACAAAGAACGGGTTTTAATGACTGATCTGATTTTGAGTTGCGCTAGGGTTTGATTTGAGGGGTTAAGTGCTGGATTAGCACCAGTTAAATCGATTTTGGGCAAAAAATATTTAGGGCAAATATGGAGAATGGAGAAACTGCTCAGTCGATGGTGGAGACTGTGGTCAGTCTCTTTGTTTAAGTCGCTGGTGGAGCATGGTGGAAGTCGCTGGTGGAGGCTGTGGTCGCTGGTGGTGGCTTTGTTGAAGTCGCTAGGTGGAGCTCGACGAAGTCTTGTCTGGCTGAGACTGGTTGAGGAGGAGGAGAGCTAAGGGCTCTTACGAATAAGTGGTCTGAAATTATGTAGCCTGTGATGTGAAATTTAAATGGCGTTACGTTAAAATCGTCGTGGCAAATGATATTTTTAAACACGTTATTTAAAATAACGTTTTATACCCTTTATTTTTTAAACGTCTGTTAGGGTTCTGTTAAAAATTATTGTTATAAAACGTTATTATGAATGACGTTTTTAAAATTGTCATTCTTAATGATGTTTTTAAAAAAAAAATTCAACTATAAATCATCATTCCAAATGACGTTTTTAGGCTAGAATGCGTCATTTTAAATAACATTTTTAAAAAAAACTAGATTTGAGAATTAAGTTTAAAAGTAATTGGGTTATAGAATTAAGTTTTGAGGAGGCATGATTTGGGAAAAACCTCTTCATGTTGAGATCAATGTTTGATTGTGTTTCGATGTATCTTTTTATGTTTTTTTGTAGTTTATGGCGACTGAAGTTTCGAGTTGCACTATTGTTAAAGTTTCAACTTCAAAGTTTAAGAAAAAGCTTGAAGAAAAGAGTAGAGGACTTGATTGCAAATTTGATTTTTTTTTTTCAGATATGTCTGGAAAGAGCAAAGATAGTGCCTTATTGTTATTGGTCAGTTTTCATCATACGCAGAAGAGTGGGGCAACTTGAAAATAAATTGTTGTGCATGTGAGAAATAATAATATGCCATGGACTTAAAATAATGATTTAATATGTTGATTTGATGAATCATTGACATGCATTTAACTGTCGGTCCCTGAATTTATTGGGACTCGCTACACCACTCGTTTAATGATTTTGATTGATTAAATCATGATTTTAAGTTTTAGCGGTTAGTGATGCTAAAGTAACCATTTCGGATGATTTCTTTGGGTTTCTTTGTTCAATTTTTTTCTTCGGTAAGTAAAGATGAATTTCATTAAAAATCAAAAAAAGGTTCATTTACAAAAGAGATCTCAAAAGGGATGATTAATATTCTAAAATGAGAGAATAAGATGATCCATCCCTAAAGCAAAAAGAAAAACAATATGATTACAATTCCAAAAGAATCAAAGGAAGAAAAAGTGTGCAAAACAGCAATGAGCATAGACAGACAGACTAAAATCGGCATGAATTGCTGACATAGACATGAATCCTTTTGATGACCTCGGATTTAAGTTTAGGTCCCTTACAAAACCTAAAACTTCTTTTGGCTCACGCGAAACGACTTAAGCGTCTCATCCAGATAGTATTCACTAGGCTGGAGCTGGATTACAATCCAGTTCTATAGAAGCCCACAATAATTCAGCTCAGAATAGATGGTAACTCGACATCAACAAACTCAGTACAGATACTCATTCCGGAGTTAGGAGCTCGGAACCAAGTTATTTACTAACGATCGTACTGCGACAGATGGATGTGCTAAGTGTGGAAAGGAGAAAAGGGGACAGTACTTAACAATCCTAACGAACGATATCTACCGGCAGTGGAGATGACTCACGTATTCCTTTCAAGACGTACTGGGCACAAAAAAGCGTCAAGAATAACAAACCTAGCAACCAAGACAAACAGGAAGGGGACCACAGAATCAGTCAGAAAAAGAATCACAACGAAACCCTAACGACTGGATTTATAAATAGCAAACGAGGCCACTGTACAAAGATATATGAAAAAGAGACCACCCAGTAGTAACCTTGAAAATATTATGTAAAAGGCTTTCAGCCAAATACCTTGTAACAACAACCTTCTTCCCTGAGCAACACAATTCCCAAGGAGCAAGAGTCTTGGATGTAACCTTAAACCTTCGACTGAGGTAAACATATTATTGTCTTTGTCTCTTCTTCACACTTAGCACTCTTTTTGTCACATAGACACAATCTCATTCTCTCTAGACCACACCCCATATTATTCTATAATTTGGTCAATTGATTTCGAGCACTGATGAGTGCGCGAAAGTGCATTGTAAATACCCAATTATTGGATTAAAATGTTAAAATGTGAATAAAAATAATTATATATAATTTATATTATTGAATTTAATATCTATTCACACTAAAATATATTTAAACATAATTTTATAATATTTTAAATCTTAAATATTGTATTATTGGTTGGTAAGAAATAATTTACAATTAGGTTTTACATTTAATATTTTTGAAACTTTATTATTCGGGTTTTATATTTATTTTTATTTTGATGGCAGCCCATAGAGTAAAAATATTGAAATTGATGCAACTGTTTGTTGGGCTCAACACTCATAATTTTTATTGGGCTTCACCTTTCTTAAATTACACAAAATTTGGACTTTAGAGGCTAAAATAAAAAGATTGGAATCAATAAGGGATGAAAATGTCTTTTATGAAGAAAAAGGGAATTGACTTTTAAAAAAGGATTTTGCTTTTTGTCCTTGTGGGTGGCAGCTGTGCCTTTTCTTTTCCTTCAGTGCTGGGCGGCTACTGAACGAAGAGAAAGGAGACGAAACAGAGGGAGAAAGACTCTGATCGCTGCCGATTTATTCTATTTCTTTGGAGATTTTTGTTGTCCGTTATATTTATGGGTAATTAAATTTTTATGGTAAGGCGAAAGATGAACTTGTACAGTAGATGATATTTTATTTATTTTTAATTTATGCATTTGTATTCTAATTAATAAACTCTTTTGTTTTATCATTCTCAAATTGTTGATATTTTCTTCTCCGAATAATCATAGAATTTATTTTGTTTATGGATTCAATCATGTTTTTTCTATTGAATGGATTAGCTCTTTGATTATGTTTGGATTAATTATTTATCTATATTGATTTAATTCTTTGCTACAATATCGTTTTTTAAGTATATTGTTCTCGTTGGATTTTCTCAATAGTGATAATAATTTACGTATTTTCGAAGTAGTGAATGATTTTTCAAAGGGTTACATGTGGTTTAATCTTAGTTTATAAATTCATACCTTCCGGTTGAAAATTTTGGGAATTGAATTCTCAATTGAGTTATTTAATGAATTAAAAATAACTAAAATATCATATTTGTGCAAGGGATTCCCGACGTCTTACTGTTTGTCAAATTTGAGTATTTTTTCCGTTAGTCACTTTGCTTCACTTTAAGTTATATTTAAACTTAATCTTTGTTCTTTAGTAATCATTTAATATATTTCTTTAGTTCCTTTGTTCCTTTTATTATTCTTTTAATTTGTCTCTTTGTGGAATCGACACCCCAAAACTGTGCTACAACTGCCATGTTATTCTTTGGGCGTAATCAAATTTTGGCGCCGTTGCCAGGGAGACGGTAGAAAAATTGGTAAATATTTTTTCTTTTCAACAATCTGCAAAAACGGTAACTTCGTTCCTTCTTTTAGTTTGTTACATTATTATTATTATTATTCTTTCTTTTTATAGTATTTTTATTCTTTTAGTATTTTATTGTCTTGCATGCACAGATATAGGGACACCTTGAGTAGATTTGCTAGTAGGCCTGTGGTAGAGCTAGAATCAAATTTTTTAAATCCTTTATTTGAAAATTCAAAAAATCCCGAAAAAATGGGTGAACACGAAAATCAACCCATTAGAACTCTTCATGATTACCTTCACCCTGCACACACAGCCACACCATCATGCATCATGTTTCCAGCTAATACTCACCAACTGGATTTTAAAACAGGGATGATACAGTTACTCCCTAATTTTCATGGCTTGAAAAATGAAAATCCATATGTGCACATTAGGGAGTTTGAGGAAGTAGTTGCGACTTTTCATAATCAAATTGCACTTGATGATGTTGTGAGAGTTAAGTTCTTTCCTTTCTCTTTGAAGGATAAAGCTAAGAGTTGGTTATATTCGCTGAGACCACGATCTTTTGGGCATGGAGTGAGATGACACAAGTCTTTTTTAATAAATATTTTCTCCAACATAAGTCCAACACTTTAAAAAGGCAAATATCCACCTTTGCACAAAAAGACAGTGAAAATTGTATCAATCTTGGGAGAGATTTAAGGAGTTGTTGAGTGTGTGTCCTCACCATGGGTATGACATTGGCGCTTAGTGAGCTATTTTTATGAGGGACTTACACCTAGAAAACGTCAATTTATGGAGATGATGTGTAATGGTGAGTTCTTGCAAAAAGATCCTGATGAGACCATAGAATACCTCAATGAGCTTGCTGAAAAAGCCCACACTTAGACTTGAC